AACACCAATCGGTTGCCTCTCACATGTGTCCCGACAGGAGACTAGGCCTACAAGCCAGGCATGTGCCCTGACCCCAGGAATCAAACCAGCAACCTTTAGCTTTGCTGGATGATGCTCAACAAACTAAGCCATGCTGAGCAGGAACAAGAAGACTTTTTTTTTGAAAGACTACATACTGTAGGATTCCATTTACACAAAATTCTAGAAAATGCAAATTTATCTAGAGTGGCAGAAAGCAGATCTATGTTTGCCTGAGGACAGTGACAGCAGAGAGGATGTGTGTGTTACCTGTGGGACACAAACAACATATGCATGATGAAGATGTTCATTATCTTGATTATGGTTAATGGTATAGGCGTATACATTTTTTAAACATATCAAATTGTATGATTTAAACATGTACAGTTTACCATGTGTCAACATTATCTCCATAAAGCTGTATTTATAACTTGTAAGGGGTAAGGAAAAGGAAACAACATGATCAGTAGAAGGGACAGAAAGGTGACAAAATTCGGCTAACATCGCTGCCTTTTATATAATCTCATGAATGTCTATAATCACAAGCTACACAGAAGAGTATTTCCTATGCTAGAATTTCTCCAACCTCAAAAGATACTTGAAATAAGGGTTTCCTTGCTATTAAACTCTGAAAATTTATAAATTAAAAGACTTAAAGTAAACTATAGGCTATAAGTTACTTTAACTTTTCAATACTATCAAGCTCTTTTTTTCCCTGTCTATAAAATCTGCAAAAGAATTTAGAAACCTGTGCAATTAGGTGTCCTAATATCTTAATCAAATCCAAGTTGTACTTCGGTCTTTTATATGACTATACTTCTTTCTAGGATGAGTATACATCCTGGGAAAGAGTATACACCCCATATATTCTAGGGTGTATACTCATCCTAGAAAGATGTATACATTGTTGGAGACAATGGCAATAAATAAGTTATCAACTTCGGTATTAATATTATTTATTTACTGCTCTAATAAAGTTACAGAACTTTCAAAGGCTCAAAATTACCCAATTGCAAGATTAATGTCTATAAAGTAGCTGCAAGAAAAATATAACATTTCACAAGTCCCTCGACTGATGGTGACTGAACTAGATCCAAAACCTGATGTCTTGTGGTCATATAAATTATATGAAATACAATATTCTGAAAGGTTTCTTACAGTGACAGGAATGAAAAGCATCTGTCTCTCTCATAGTGAGGGTAAGGTAAAAAGTTCTAACTGCTTGTATTCACTTCCCTTCTTCCCTGTCATAAAATTTTGGGTCTATTCTTGGAACTGAAGGTTATGTGGCCAAAAAAGATCTTTAAGTTACCAATTTCTGAAAAGTGTTTCTCTAACCCTTATTAAATATATTTAATATTTTTAACCACTGTAACTTGAGAAAACACATTTGGACTACACACTCTTTAACAGTGAACTTTCTGTTTCGCAAGCTTCTCTTTTTAGTATTCAGGAAGTACCCATGATTTCTTAGAATGAAATTCTAAGATTTTGGGCAGAGTTCAATTTCACTCTGTCATTTTGTGATTTTTATAGTTCCCAAGATTTCATCTTATCAGAGTCAAAAATTATAATGTTTAAAAAGTAGATTAAATTTTAAATTAAACTAAAAATTCTTCATCCCTGAACCACTTTTGGTATAAAAGAATGAACAGTGAGATCTTTGTCTTTGAATTCCTAACTCTGACACCTATGGCTGTGTGACTTCAAATTAGTGCTCAAATCTGTTTCATCTCTGGAAGAAGGGGATATTACCACTAACTTGTGTGAAGACAACATATGTGAACACAACAGATCATTCAGTCAATAGGTGGCAGTGCTTACAGCTGTGTATCTCAACTTCACTCCCTTCAACTTGCCTTAGATATAAGCTGAGTTTTGCCCCAACTATTCATAAGAAACCATAAGGATACTTTTCAGACACTATTCCAAACTTTTTGTTTTGTTACCAATAAGTTTTCAATCATGGATATCACTTACTCTGTCTTTTCATAAAACCAGATTTCCACACTATCTAACCTGGGGCTAGATATTTAAATATTGCTTAAGTGAATTATTAAATAAATGAACATAAGAAATAAATGGGTGTATTCAAGTACCATGGAGGGGAATTATGGTTGAGACAGAGCCAGTTGGAGGCTACAGTGAACACCCCACTGGAAAAGCTGACTGTGGAATCTAGTCAGGAGAGAAAAATCTAATCTAATCCCTAAATAATGATTGTTCTACATAAAATGTACAGATTAACACAGCCAGAGGATTTAGTGATTGTGAAGAATAAATTTGGGTTTGGGGGAAGAAGGGTAGAGGAGATAACAAGATTCTTGTGCAACCTAAAGAAAGTTCCAGAGTCATTATTACTAACAGAATAATATTATGTAATACTTAGGTCTAAGATACAGTTATGCACCTGAATACATGACTATATACTGATACAAGGTAATACAATGTAAAATGGTTAAGTAAACTAATAAATTCAATGTATCTAGTAAAAAGAAAATGAATATTCAAGTCATAAAAAGTATAAGGAAAGGAAGAAAAAGCAAGTACAAGCCTAAAATTAAGAGTGATTAATTAGTGATTCTATTAGAAGTAGGATCTATCATGGAGTGGCATGCTTTCAGTTACTAGGATTGTCTATTAAAACCCCCCCAAAATATATTTGAAGATTGGGTAGAGAATTAACTGACTAACCTCTAAGGTCTTCTCCAATTACAAGATTTCATATTTCTATTCAGTGTACATTCAGCCCTGTCTTACAACACAGTATATTGTTTAAGTAAAAAAAACAAACAAAGCCCTGGCTGGCATAGCTCAGTGGACTGAGCGCGGGCTGCAAACCAAAGTGTCGCAGGTTCGATTCCCAGTCAGGGTACATGCCTGGGTTGCAGGCCATGACCCCCAGCCACCGCACATTGATGTTTCTCTCTCTCTCTCTTTCTCCCTCCCTTCCCTCTATAAAAATAAATAAATAAAATCTTTAAAAAAAAAAAAAAGGGTGGAGGTTTGGTAACTGGATTCTAAAAAAAAGTTTAAAAAAACAAACAAACAAACAAAACACTACATTCTTTGTGATCAAGTTCCAACACATTCTAACAGTTTAAAAATAAGAATGGTACTTTTAAAGAGCATTTAAAATGCTTAAGAGTTCAAAGTTGGAAGTATCACACTATCTGATATCAAACTATACTATAAGGCTATAGTACTCAAAACAGCAGGGTCCTGGCATAAAAACAGTCATATAGATCAATTAAACAGAAAAGAGCCCAGAAATAAACCCACACCTACATGGCCAATTAATATTTGATAAAAGAGGTAAAAACATATAATGGGGTAAAGACAGTCTAGTCAATAAACGGTATTAGAAAAACTGGAAAGATACATTAAAAAAAAAACTATACCACCTCCTTATACCATATATAGGAATAAACTCAAAATGGACTAAAGACTTTAATGCAGCACTCAAAACCATAAAACTCCTAGAAGAAAACATAGGCAGTAAAATCTTGAACATTTCTTGTAGCAATATTATTTCTGATGTGTTTCCTCGGGGAAGGGACAACAACAACAACAAAAATAAACAAATGGGACTTCACCAAACTAAAAAGTTTTTGCAAAGCAAAGGAAACCATCAACAAAATGAAAAGTTAACCCACTGAATATAGAAAATATTTGCCGATACATCTGATAAAGGGTTAATATCCAAAATTTATAAAGAATTTATAAAACTCAAGCCCCAAAAAACCCACAAATAATTCAGTGAAAAATGGACAAAGGACCTGAATAGACACTTCTCCAAAGAGGACATACAGATGGTCAATAGGCATATGAAAAGATGTTCAACCTCACTAATCATCAGAGAGATTCAAATTAAAACCATAATAAGATATCACCTCACAACTATCAGAATGGCTGTCATCAATAAATCAACAAACAACAAGTGTTGGTGAGGATGTGGAGAAAAGGGAACCCTCGTGCACTTGGTGGGAATGCAGACTGGTACAGCCACTGTGGAAAGCAGTATGGAGTTTCCTCAAAAAATTAAAAATGAAACTGCCTTATGACCCAGAGATTCTACTTCTGGAAATTTATCCAAAAAAAACTAGAAGAAACACTAATGTTCAATATAGATACCCCCATATTCACTGCATTGTTATTTCCAACAGCCAAGATTTGGAAGCAGCCATATGTCTATCCATCAGTAGACAAGTGGATAAAAAAAGTGGTGGTACATTTACACAATGGAATACTACTAGGCCATAAAAAAGGAAATCTTACCCTTTGTGATAGCATGGATGAACCCAAAGAGCATTACGCTAAGTGAAATAAGGCAGTCCAAGAAAGGCAAGTCCTATGATTTCACTCATGTGGAATCTAATGAACAAAAATAAACTAACAAGCAAAACAGAGACTCATAGAAAGCAGGTTGACAGCTGCTGTGGGGTGGGGAGGTTATGTGGGGAAGGGATTGAGAAAAAAAGAAAAGAGAGAGAGAAAAAAAACTCATGGACATGGAAAAAAGTGTGTTGATAGCTAAGAGTGGTGGGGAAGGTAAAGGAAGATATAGGGGGATAAATGGTGATGGAAGGAGACTTGACTTGGGGTGGTGAACACACAACACAGTGTACAGATGATGTGTTGTAGAATTAGGCACCTGAAACCTGTATAATTTTTGTTAACTAGGGTCACCCCAATAAATTAAATCAGTAGAAAGGGGGAAAAGATTAGAAAGTATTTATAAATGAAAAAAGAAAATAGGGGATTCAGAAATGATAGCCATTTAAAAATGTATGAGTTTCACCCCTTAACCAAAGGAAAAATAAGTGGTAGAAATTAATGTATAGATTATCATGGCTATATACTAAAATACTGAGAAATTAACTTCTTACTAATATAAGGCATGTAACTGAAGAACAGAATCTATCCTTACAATCCTCTTATTTATTTATTCATCAGCTAAAATTCAAATAGTTGATGCCTACCTCTCTGAAGAGTGCACCATAAAACTGAACAATGTATGGGCAATCACTACTCCGCATTACTACATCCAAATCCATAAGAAGTTGTTTTTGTTCTTTTTCATCCACTGTTGACCGAATTCTCTGGAAAAGAATGATAAAAGATGTCATAAAAACATGAAACAACTTGAGAAACCTGAGAAAATATGCTATCACAAAAATACTAACAATTTCTAAACAAACTTCAAAAATATTAACCTGACATAAAAATTATCATCTTTCTCATACAAGAACAATTTTTACCACAGAAAAACAAAATAGCACTTAAGCATTTGTTATTTTTAACAAAATAGCACCTGTAACTCTTTAAAGGACACAGCTTTCTAACCACAAGCATTCATTGATAATGTTGGAAGTTATGCAACAAAGTTCTTGGGCAGTGAAAATTAACCCATGTGCAAAAGAAAATCATAATGAAGTATACTTAAACAGTTTTCATGTGAATAATCACAGGCAGCTTCACATATACTTTTAATCACCATTTCAGAATCATACGAAATCTAGGCATTCAATGCAAGAGCAGCCCTTGTCACCCCCAGGATCCTGACACTGTCGCATCCTCATTCATTAAAGATAGAACACAGTTCAGAGCAGTAAAAGCAAGAACTACTATAGGGGCAGCACAGAGATCAACAGTCCATGTCCCCCCAATCCTAGACTGGAATTCTCCCCCTCCACCACACTTTCTGTATGGTGCAATCAAGGACTTCTGCCTGACTCGCCACCCCATGAGTCAGAATACAGGACAGAAGAAACATGGTGAAGAAAACTTAAAACTCAGGAACAGAGGGCGCTTTGTCTTTTTCTAAGCTGATGAGGCCCTGCTCTGTATATTGCAGACCTAAGGAGATACCCCTGACCTGCCCATACAACAACTATGTATGGGTAGTACCTAAAGTACTGCCCCCAAAAGGTTCGTATGCCCACCTCCTGCCCAGGAGCAGTGCAGGACACAGAGATGTCAGAGGGACAGTTCTCACTGCCCCAGAGAGGTAGGAAAGAAGTTCAAAAATTGTAAAACATTAATAATGAAGTTATAGTTTAACACAAAAGCATGCAAACAACTTTTGTTCTCATTGAAAAATGTCTAAATGTCACATCGTGCCACTGTGAATAATATATAGCACATACTTACAAGGCAAGTTAGTACCAAAAAATACATAAGGTGGCACTTTGTCTTCCAAAAGCTTCAAGGTATCTGTCCTCAATGTTCTTGAAAGGGATGAAGGCAGTCAATTAAGTTCTTGAGCCCATTTTACAGAAGAGAAGCCACAGGCACAGAGAGACACAAGAGAACGTATTCCATGTGACATGACAATACGCAGTTGTACAAGGAATAGAAGTAGGTTCTCTAATTTTCATTTTCTGCACTAAATAGGAATTTCATGCATTTCAAATACAAACAAATTTAACTTTGCTATCAAATAAAATTTACTAACTGGCATCCATCTGTACATGGTGATTTATTTAAAACTTTTACATTAAATTTCACTACACAAATAAACAAGAAAAAAGAATGAAAAATATAAACAAAATAAAACCAAAACATTTACAATTAAGAAATGTCCCTTCTCTCTCTCCTATCTATTTTTTCATAGTTTGGGGAATAATAATCTCACTTTTAAATCAACATTAGCATGTGTGCTCAAAAATGATACTTTTATCCCTGGCTGGTGTGGCTCAGTGAATTGAGTGTGGGCTGAGAACCAAGGGGTCACTGGTTCGATTCCCAGTCAGGGCACATGCCTGGGTTGCAGGCCAAGTCTCCAGTGGGGGCCACATGAGAGGCAACCACACATTGATGTTTCTCTCTCTCTCTTTCTCCCCCTCCCTCTCTAAAAAAAGAAAATACCTCTTAAAAAAAGGATACTTTTAAAAAGTCAAAAGAACCCAAAGGTATTCAAAAGATGTTAATAATTTCTGTAAACATTTTAACTACATTTATTCCTGTTTTTAAAAGTATAACTTTAAAAACAGAGCTGTGGAAATACTAATTTGGGAAGGCAATTACTTAAAAAAAAACCTTAATTATTCTATCTATATCTAAATTTAAAAGACAAACACCTGGTAATAAGAAACAAACAGGGAAGAAAAACATCAAATGATCCTCTAGCTGGGAAAGATTTCTACCTACTAAAGAATTCTCACTATTAAAAAGTCTTAAAAACATATTTTTTTTATTTTTAATTGTATATACTGTATATATGGTATGTATATACTGGCAAGTTTAAATATACTAGCATGTATACTTATAAAATACTATTTTAAAAGATGCTCCTTTGCTAGTTTATTTTTTTCCCAAACTGGTTATATGGTTTTCTAAACTTAACATTTGTACAAATGTTTATATTTCAACTATTAGAAAGCATATTATAATCAAAAGCTCAATAGTTATCATCAATACCTAATTCTTAGGAACTATTCCTAAAAACACTGCTACAGAGAGGATACATGCTACTATGTGTACCGGAGGCCTAATGCAAGCCATGGCATTTGACTAATGTGTATTACTCAATCCCTGACAGGATTATTATTCACCAGAATGTAGAGATAATTCCTGGCATAGTCTAACCTTTGAGATCACCAGCATAGCAGGAAAATCTATTCATCTTGAAAATATTCTTTAATGCCACTACCAGTACAAAACAGAACCTGGGGCCACTGGAGGGCCTCACATGAAACTGATTTTGCTCCTGGATGTTTGTCAACAGGCTAACACCTTCTCATGCTCTCCGTCTGAACACCTTGTCCAAGTGATGGAAGTGGATAGAAGAGTAGTTGCTGCCGTTACATCTGTATTGTTTGGCATTAAGCAAGTATAGCTGACTCTTAATATTTATACTAAAGTTTTAGGGCTGTATTGCAACATTTATTATATGTGAGCACTTAATTAATTTAAAAGACCTAAACGACTCAAAAAGGACTACAAACACCTACAATAGCAATAGTTTCAAACTGATATTAATTCAATAAATGATTAAGGTTGGAGGATACTAATGATAATCAATTCAAATGAGAATATTTAGTAACAAAAGTCACAAAAGTTCTAACAGAACATCAAAACATTGTGTATAAAAAAGACTTCTAACATCTGAAATAAGGCCAGAATTCTCTGTTATAAAGGAAGCATAATCACCTAAAATGGAACACATCAAGAAGAACAGACTTAAAGTTGTCCTTAATTGAGGGCCTTGGAAAAGGAAAGAGCAATGGTGGAGCCAATTGTACTACTTGAAATTCTCTTGTAATTGGAATGTTCAGAAGTCAAATGTATTGATAAATGCCTTGAATTATAGGACATTTTATTTATCACATAAATTTAAAAGTTAGGTAAGGCTGATGTTTATTTGGGCTCAACAAACTTTTTTTTTCTAGTAAAGAGTGGGGATGAAAACCTCACCGCAGTCAGTGAGGCGAGGGAGAGTGGTTGGTGGAGTTGGGAAATGGAGACAACTATGCTTGAACAACAAAAAAGAAGAAGAAAGAAAACCTCACCCCAGAGCACATAATAGTTAAGAAAACCATCTCTATGACCTTACCTTTTAAAAAAGTTTTCTTTTCACCCAATTGTTAGAACTCATTAAAGTCACTTGCTTCTGCACCATGGAGATACTGAGCTCTTCTACTTGCCTCTATTTTATGAACCTAGCTTAAGTAATTACGTACATGCTCTTGGGACAAATTAGACTACATTTTTTGAAAATCAACCCACATTGCTTAGCCAACAATAAAGTAATTTAAAATTATTATAAGTTTTACTTTATTAGGAACATATGTAGAGAAAACACTTAAAATCAAAACAAGAATTACTAGTCTACACATATAAGCAGTTTTCCATAGTGAAGAAATTTATACACTTGGAGCTAAAAAATTTTTTTCAACTATTGTCCAAATCTGTATTCAAGGTTGCCTTATACTCCTAATAAAGTTTTAAAAGTAGGTTAATGCCAATAAAAACAGCATGTAGCTACAGGTCAGCAATGCCAACATTTACTCCAATTAAAAGTCACTTAGAGATACAGGAACAATGATCAATTAAATTCCCAGTTTTCAGTTTTATGACTTTTAGGGTTATACACAGTTCCAAAGTACTTCCCTTTTCTAAAGCAGCCACTCCAACTCATGCCTTTGGCTGAACAGCCACAAATTCAGTTACTAGTAATTTGTATGGATTAAGCTGCAATGATACAAAGTTAACAAGTACCAAGGGTCTAACTTCAAAATTTAAGTTAGAAATTGTCCTCTGATCCTCTTCTATCTCATACACAAAGCACAGCAATGTCCGCTGTGGAAAGACTTCCAATCATATAAAAAATGCTAAGAAGTTGTTGAAAGTTCTGTGCAACGTGGCAGCTAAAAGTCACTAGGAAATTTAAATGTTGACAGTTTATACTTGGCCTCAAAGATTAAGACACATTGTTATAATGGAAAGGGATTGGGAGAACTATCAAAACAAGTTCAGTGAAGGATTGGGACTGGGGGTGGGAAAGGCAGAGAAAGGGAAGCAAGGAGGATGGGTGGAAATAGACAGCATTATGCTCTCAAAGCAACTGATGTGACCCCTTCCTATGGAGTCTAATAGCACTACTATCATTTTTTTTTGTCTTCCTTTTGTAAATTTATTTTTCAGGGTAAAGAGAGACAGGAAGAAGGGATAAAGGGAAAGAATACACTTTAGTGATGACCCAACAGCTATTATGGGGTAAGGCTACGATGGCTCAACTGTGGCAAAGGAAAGGAAGAAAGGCTGACAACACAATGGCTTTCAAGGGGCCAGCTTTCAAGGAAGCAAAGTAAGAAATTCTCATAGAAAGGTCCTCAGAAGCAGGTCACCAAGAACATTGTGCCTAGGGGCTAAATAAGGTCCTACTGGATTCTGGAAGCAGTCCTTGCCACCCACTCTGATTCGGAGCAAACCCATCTCCATGTCAAAATTCTCAAAGACAATTCTCCATGTCAATTCTCAGTTGCTAGAGATGCCAGGCATAAACCAAAGCACCTGGCTGGCCTGGAAATGACCCCAGTCTGAGTCTCCTGAAGTAAGAACTCCTGACTGTCACCAACCGAGAGCTTTTCTCCTTACC